ACAGCTGGTCATTTGCATTCTTCTTAGAGAGACGTTGAGGCCACTTGGAGGTTTGTCTGTGTCTTTAGACACAGGGCAGAAAACATCCTGTAACCAAGAAGGCTCCACGCCAATTTGCACCACTCAGGGTGACCCCAAGACACAGATAAACCTCCAAACGGTCTCAATGATTCCCTAAAAGGATGCAAATGACCAGCTCTCTGCAAGGAATACAAATCCTTCCATTCCCCACTATTCAATCAGAGCTGAAGAAGCTTCTTGGATGAGAAGTGAAATGTCTTCAAAAGAAAAACCGGAAACTCCATGTGTCTCTTGAGAGAAAAAAGCACCTTTAGGATATGGGTAAGGTGGGTTTTTCCACCTCCTCTTACTGATGAAAATAATTGACATTTTAATGGTCATTTTACAGCTCTTACAGAAAGAGAGCCAGCTGTTAATGACTTCCATGTGTGAATGAATGTATGTTCTCACCACCTCCAAAAAACAAATTCACAGCAAGCGTTTTTCTCCTTTGGACCCATTGCAATGTCTCCTTGCTCAAAACCACAATGTCCTCATTAGTTTTTAAAGAGGGAGGGAGGGATCTAGGGATCTAGGAAGATCTAGTGGACAACCACTTAAGTTTGAGCCAGTCATGTGCTGCCCAAAAGCCCAAGTGTAAGTGATCCAACAATTTGGGTTTGCTTACAAATCCCACTGTAGACCACCTGCGTTAAGGTGTCAAGAGCAAGTCAGTGGGGTGGAAAAAAACCGGCACTTCAATTTTATTTATTTTATTTGCTCAGAAATTAGATCTTCTTGAAAGGGAGCTGAGGCCCTTCAATTTCCTGATGGAGTTCAGGTAAGCCAACCGCCTGTGATCATCTCCTTTGAAGTGAAATTCTTAAGTTGAATTGTTCTTTGGCTTTCTAAGGATCAAGTGGGCTGAAAAAGGCATCTTAATGTTGGGTATGTATGAGAGAGAGAGAGAGAGAAAGAGAAAAGGGCAAAAAGGTGAAAGAGAGAGTCGAATAGAGAGGCAGAGCGAGAAATGGAGGGAGGGAAAGAGAAACAGAGAGACACATATAGAGAAAGGAGAGAGAGGCAGAATGGAGAAAGAGAGAGAAAAGAACAGAGGAACAGGGAGAAATGGAGGGAGAGAGAGAAAGAGAGAGAGGGAAAGAAACAAGAGAGAGAAAGGAGAAAGAGAAATAAAGAAGAAAGAGAAGAGATAGAGGAGGAAAAGAACAGAGAGACAGAGAGAAAAACAGAGAAATTGAGAGACAGAGAAAATTTCACTTCCTTTGAAATGAAATTCTTAAGTGAATTTATTCCTTGGCTTTCTAAGGATCAAATGGGCTGATAAGGCACCTAAATATTGTGTATGTACAAAAGAGAGAGAAAGAAGGGGGGGTAGAAAGAAGAAAGAGAGATAGAAAAAGAAACAGAGACGGAGGAGGGAGAGAGAGAGAAAAAAGGAAGACACACACAGAGAAAGAAGAGAAAGAGTCAGAGAGAGAAAGAAACAGAAACAGAGAGAGAGAGAAAGAGAGAAAGGGGAGAGAGAATGAGAAAAGAGAGGGGAGGAAAGGAACAGAGACAGCGAGAAAAACAGAGAGAAACAGAGACAGAGAGAGAGAAAGGAGAAAGAGAAAAAGAGAGAGGGAAAGCAACACAGAGAGAAAAACACAGAAACACACACACACACACACAGAGAGAGAGAGAAACTGAGACACAGAGAGAAAGAGACACACAGAGACAGTGAGAAAGGAGAAAGAAAGAGAGAGAGAGGGACAAAGAGGGAGAGAGAGAGAATAAAATGGACATCTATCAATTCTTTCTATGTCTAGTTAAAAGACCCCATCTTTACTAAAATATTAATTTAATATTTACATTAATTAAAATGCCTCCTTCCCAAAAAGTTTTTATTTAAATACTTATTTGAGATGGTCATAGAGTTGGGCAAGACAGAGGGTCCACCATGAAATAAGCCTCCCTATGGCCACAAACTGAGTCAAAATTCCACCTGCAAAGGATATTTTTCCGGCATCCTTTGGATGAGCTGCTATCAGGAGCTCTTGTGCTACCTGAGCATCCCTTGATGGATTTGCTGGCTAGTTACTTCCCCTTGTTTGCTTTGCTATCTTCAAGCATCCTTAAACTGTCTGTCATCATGAGCTCCTGCACTCTACTCCAAATGAGACTCGAACCTCTGGTCTCCCCCTCTGGAGTGGGGAAGGGTCACGGAGGGCAAAACATTGATTGATGGTAGGCCATTCAGTTGGGGTGGACACTTAGCACCCACACCGAGAGATTCTCTTCGTGATGAAGTCCCTAATTTGGCCTTTTGGCTCTTCCAAGGAGAGCATTCATCGCTAATGTGAACCTCTCCATTTTGAGGCTGATTATCCTTTTCTTTCTTTCTTTCTTTCTTTCTTTCTTTCTTTCTTTCTTTCTTTTTCTTTCTTTCTTTCTTTCTTTCTTTCTCTCTCTCCTTCCTTCTTTTTCTTTCCCTCCCTCCCTTCTTTCTTTCTCTTGCTTTTCTCTTTCTTTCTTTTTCTCCTCCTTTTTCTTTCTTTCTTTCTTTCTCCCTCCCTTCCTTTTTCTTTCATTCTCTCCCTCCCTCCTTTCTCTCCTTCCTTCCTTTTTTCCCTTTTCCCTTCCTTTCTCTCTCTCCCTCCCTTCTTTCTCCCTTCTTTCTTTCCCTCCTTTCTTTCTCTGTCCCTCCCTCCTTTCTCTCCCTCCCTCTTCTCTCTCCCTCTCTCCTTCCTTCCTTTTTTCTCTCTCTCCCTCCCTCCCTTCTTTCTTTCTCCCTTCTTTTTCTTTCTTTCTTTCTCTCCCTTCCTCCTTCTTTCTCTCCCTTCTTTTTCTTTCTTTCTCCCTCCCTTCTCCCTCCCTCCCTTTCTTTTTCTTTCTTTCTTTCTCTCCCTCCCTCCTTCTTTGTCTCTCCTGTCTTTCTTTTTTCTTTGTCTCTCTCTCTGTTCCTCCTTCCCCTTCTTTCTCTCTCTCTCCTTCCTTCCTTCCTTCCTTTCTCTCTCTCCCCCCCTTTCTCTTTCTCTCTTTCTTTCTTAGCATTTGTAAAGGGCAGAAGGAATAACTTTGAGGAACAGAAGGAAGAACCTGTATAGAGCCTTACAACAGTTCATTTAGTGACCGTTTGAAGTTACAACAGCACCCAAAAAAAGCGACTTAAGATCGTGTTTCACACTTACAACCGCTGCAAGCTTCTCCAGTCACATGATCAAAATTCAGCCTCTTGGCAACTGACGCATAGTTATGACGGTCACAATGTCCCAGGGGTCACGTGATCCCCTTTTGAGACCCTCTGACAAGCAAAGTCAGTGGGGAAACCAGATTCATTTTAACTAAGTTAGTGAGACCAACTCAACAACTTCAGTGATTCGCCTTAACAGCTGTGGACGCCACACCGAAACATCTTTTGTTCTAGAATGATGGTTGCTCCAGTCATTTTGGGTTTGCTTTTTTGTTAGACTGGCCACGTAATTCTTTATGTTGGTGTTTCTTGACCTCTGCAACCTTAAGATGGGTGGACTTCAACTCCCAGAATTCACCAGCCATCCCGTGCGATCTCTTTTTCCTCTTATTCTGGGCTTTTAGGAGAGCAGGAACCAATCAGTGCCTTTGTATGTTTGCCTTCATTGTCTCTGCTTAATTAATCCATTCCTTCCCTATGTTTTTTCCCCCCTTTTGCATTTTTCTGCAATAGTCCATGGTTACTCTGAATTTTTCTCCCTCTCTCCCTCTCTTTCTCCCCTCCCTCTCTCTCCCTCCCTCCCTTTCTCTCTCTCCCCCTCCCTCTCTTCCTCCCTCCCTCTCTCCCCTCTCTTTCTCATTCTCTCCCTCCCTCTTTCTCCCTCCCTCTCTTTCTCTCTCTCCCCCTCCCTCTCTCCCCCTCTCTCTTTCTCTCTCCCCCCCTCTTGTAGTTTTTGCCATTTTGGCTGCATAAATCACCGCTCTCAGAGAATTTAATCAGTATAAGACTCCAGGATAATAATATTAAATTATGCTGAGCATAAGGGACAGAAGGTAGCTACAGTACGTGGCGTGTGCAGAGTTTACAAGAAACTCTTCAGGGAGAGAAATCATTCATAAAATCATAACATGCAGGCTATGAACTCCTTACGAACCTTTGATTTTCAAGGGGGAAAAAAAAGCTTATTAAAGCTGAACCTGAAGTGTAATTGGTGTACCACAGCACTCGCTGTGTGCCGTACATTTGCAAATCCAGGTACCTACAACCCCAAACATTGCAGACAGAAACACCATGAGGAAAAATGCCTTTCTCCAAATCTTCTGAGATTTCTTTCTAGGAAGGAAGGGAGGGAGGGAGGGAGGGAAGAAGGAAGGAAGGAAGGAAGAAAGAAAAAAAGAAAGAAAGGAAAAAAAGAAAGAAAGAAGAGAAAGAGACAGACAGAGAAAGCGAAAGAAGGAGAAAAAAAGATGGAGGAATAGAATAGAATAGAATAGAATAGAATAGAATAGAATAGAAGTAGATATTGGAATGTAGAATAGAATAGAATACATTTATTGTCACTGCATTCCATGAATACAATAAAATTTGAAAGCTAGGAAGGGAAAGAAGGAAGGAAGGAAAGAAGGAGGCAGGTAGAGAAGGAAAGAAGGACGGAAGAAAGGAAAGAAAAAAGAGTGAAAGGAGAGAAAAAAGAAAGAAAGAAACAGGAGAAAGATACAGAGAGATAAAGATACAGAGAGATAAAGAGAAGGAGGGAGGGAGGAAAGAAGGAAGAAGGGAGGGAAGCAGGTAGAGAAGGAAAGAAGGAAAGAAAGAAAAAAGAATGAAAGGAGATAAAAAAGAAAGAGACAGAGAAA